CAACACTCCATCTACAACTAGATCTCACAATTACCCTCACTAATTCAACTAACTGCGATTCATTTTTTCTTTTTTGGATAATCAGTAAAGGAAAGTAAAAGTGTATTTATAAATGATATGAGATACTATGGACTTAAATTTGAGGAAGAAACTAGTGAAATGCTACATTTGGAACATAGCTCTATATGGGGCTGAAACATGGACACTTAGGGCAGTAGATCAAAAACATCTGGAAAGTTTCGAAATGTGGTGTTGGAGAAGGATGGAGAAGATCAGTTGGACCGATTATGTGAGAAATGAAGAAGTGTTAATTAGAGTCAGTGAGCAGAGGAATATCCTACACGAAATAAGAAAACGGAAGGCTAATTGGATTGGTCATGTTTTACGCAGAAACTGCCTTCTAAAAGAAGTTATCGAAGGAAAGATAGAGGGGCGGATAGAAGTGACAAGAAGACGTGGAAGAAGACGTAAGAAGATGCTGGATGACCTTGGAGACAGAAGAGGATACTGTCATTTGAAGGAGAAAGCTCTAGATCGCATTAAGTGGAGGAATTTTTTGGAAGAGACTGTGTACCTGTCGTCTGACAGATTACTGATGATGATGATGATGATGATGATGATGATGAGATACTGCTATAAATCTTAGTTCCTCCCTCGAAATTTGTTTCTATTCTGAATAAGTTTCATCAGAGAAAACTGTTATTTGTTGGAAGTCGGAAAAGCTTACTTGATGTGGAGAGGAACACCCGAGAGGTCGGAGTTCAGTTCCAGGTAGGGAGATTTTTTCTCTTTTCCACAGCGCCAAGGCCAACTTTGGGCACCACCCTGGCACTGGCAGCTTCTTCCTCAAAAGCAGCCGGGGCATGAGGCTGACGAATCAACTTCATCTAGTGCAAGTGCAAGAAATGCTGGAGCCATATCTCCACTCCCTTCATATGCCTTCATGATATATTTCTTAATTTAGAATAGGTACAACTCTCACTATTTTACTTCATCGTATATATTTATCCGGTCTAGAAAATCGAAATTAACGGTCGTGGGGATTCGTTGCGATGATCACGCGACACCCTCTATAGGCTAAATTTGGCACTAAATTCGCGGACAAGCGGCGGTCGCTCCGTCGGTATAGTTCGTTTGCGGACTAAAGCCACCGATTTTATATTTTTATGCAGATATATTTCAGAGATTCAGCCCTATTCAATCCTCTCGCAAAGTACAGCAGCGGAGTTAATCTCATCTCCCCCAGAAGTGAGGCACTGAACCAGTGTATTCATTAAACAAATTCTATTGTTAAGAGAAAAGTGTGTCTGAGAAGACCAGATTATGCTGTCGATAATTCACTAATTGATATTATATTATGTAAATTGAGAGCTGATGGGCGTACAACGTCTAATGAGATGTAAAGAGAGTCAGGATTGGTGAGCAGACAGTGGAGCGGAAGGTGATGGCCATCGACTTCAGGCAGGAGATACCTTAATGAGGGTAACTTATTTCTTGGACAAAGTTTAAGAGATGGGTATGCTCTGCGGCATATTACCACTATGATAACCTATCAGGTGCTCTTCGCAGTATAGCCACGTCACGATTTACGGGATAGATGAGCTCCAGAAAATCGTTGCCTAATTTATAAACGCGTATATCTAGAGCTAGTTTTCTATAAGCCAAGTCAGCTCAGACATTTATACAAATATATTGATCTAAATTATTTTGCTCAGTTTCTTGTTTTATGGCTTCGGGCAGCTGTAAATGCATAGTTTCAATTGCCTTCATCGCTACAAAGTCTACTCCATGTTGCCTCCTATTGATCGCTTAACAGTCCCGACGTCAGAAATAAAACTACGTGAACTAAATAGAGGCCATCAACATTATCATCATTAGACTGTTCAAAGATCGCCCTCTGGTCGTCTACTCCGCCGCCCAACATTTCCTCACCCCTCTGGCTGGCAATTCTGAAATTTGTGGGTCAGTTATGAATAGTTCACTCTTTCGTAAGATGTGATTATGTCACTTGTCTTTGAAGTCTCGGGTTCTTTATTCTAAAGCAAAAATTAATAATTCATTGCATATTGTCGTATTGCGTGCATTTTCAATAAGTTTATATCCAAATACACGCCTTAAGAGCGCATCTCTGTTGTTTCAATTTTCCTCCTTTCTACGTATGTAGAGCCCAGTTATCCCGTCTATACATAAATACGTATAGGAGCTGCTATAACCTTACATAATTTAGTTTGAGCTTCCTTTCTAGTCTATTTTTAGCGCTCTGTTATCTTTTGACAAATATATGAAGATCGAGACAACTTCTGTTCGGGATGTTTCCCTTCGCCGTAAGATACATCGCAGCCCAGACAATCGAAGTTCTAAACTTATTAGATTGTTTTATCGTTTATTACAAATTTTGGCATGAAGAAGTTGTTTAGGCCGACAATCTTCAATAATGTTAAACCGAAATCACATAAACCAGGAAGTGATTGTATCGTATAATGTACTAAACCGGTTGTTCCTGCTCGCGCTTCGTAACATTCTTACTTCCTTCATTGAAATTTAAAACTTTTTTCTAAAAGAAGAAATACGGAAAGTGTCTAGTTAATTTTTTAACTTGCTTTACGAATACATGTCTCAAAATTGTCACACAAAAATTGGCAAATTTTGTGTAAAATAAATATCTTTTTCAATAAATAAAACATTTTGCAGCATATTTGGTTAAATTTAACACCCACAAAAGTAGCTGGAGGTCGCCTGAGCCGGCATGTTACCCACAGCCACGAAAGTATATCAACTTGTTATATTACACTAAGAGAATTCTTGCATACACAAGTTCGGACATTTTCTTCAGCTCTAGACCATAGACTTCAAGTGCCTGCCTCAAATTACTTTCTTCATATTGTGACGTGTAGACCCATTACTAGGGAAAGACTCATAAACAAACCCACAACAAATACGCAAACAACAATAGAGTAGATCCATTTCTAGGCAACGTCCGCAATACACGTACACAACAGTAGAACCACTGTTGCAAGAGGTGTTTCCTATGTGGGTTCATATATATATCCATTCTCACTCAACGGATGTGTTTTCTGTGCCTGTGATCCGACCCAGGCTATATAACGCAGAGACAACAATAACCGACAGTTTAACTGGAAGCTATAATAGTTCCCGTGGAGTGTCCAGTCAGAAGATGACACTGTTTCAGATAGTGATCTGGGAACTGTTGTAACTAGTTGAATAATGGCCCAGTAAATTCGATTATTAAATCCAAAACCCGTTAGTATTAGTCACGCAGACCCCGGATACATGACAGTATCGATAAGAATATCACTCTTTGCAGAGTTATTTCTTATGGCTATGCAAAGTCCGTGGATGTTAAATATTTATATTCCTCTGATTTATTTAGAATCTCAGAAAAAACTTTTTGAAGTTTATAAAGAGTTAACTAACAAGCGCTCATTTTAGTGTAAATTACATTCTTATTTTAAAAAAGATACTTTGATATGATAAACTAAACAGAGGTTTGTAAGTTGAGCTATAAGCTTGTGTGTTTGAATTGGTACAGAATATTTCCCTTTGTCTTACTCAGTATTAAAGTATATACTAAAAGTAATCTACCAAAAAAAAAAAGAAAGAAAGAAAGAAAGAAAGAAAGAAAGAAAGAAGAAAATTGTGTCGTCCTTCAAATACACTTACACGCACATGTGCGCACGCACGCAAGCAAGTACGCACACACGCATACTAAATTGTCTTTCTTCCGACTTTACAATGAAGTGCCCTATCAGTTCCAAAGTGTTCTGGCGATGGTACATTACACTTAATTACTGGATCCCTGAGCTGTGTCTATTCTCTGTTATTCCGAATAGGAACACAGTGTTCCAAAAATTGGATCTTTTTCCGTTCTCAGCTGAAGTAGTGAAGGAGGGGAGCACTTACTCAGATGTGTCCGCCAAAGACAGATATCTCAAATAGTGCACTGAGGGACACATCTGAATAGCTTCTCGCCAGCTTTTCAATTAATGACAGTAATATATCGAGCTTGGAATTTTACGTTCCTTTCGAAGTGCCAGATGATGGACAAAGTCTGGGTATCCAGTAAAGCTAAGTACACTCTCGATTTTAGTATCTCTGTTTATTAACATGTCTAAGGTTAAGCTAACACCTCACCGAGTTATGTATACAGGTTGAAGATAACTTTCCTTAAACGCCACAACTACATATCCGGAGGATGCATACAAAACCAGTCCGAAGTCTATTGTGACATGTCTAACCGTTGCTGGGCAACGGGAGGTGGAACATGATACCACGAAGACAGACACTTGATAAACGGTCGGTTGCCAGGTTACGCAAAAGTAAGGACAGCGGTGTTACTCCATGCCGTGCCGAGCCGAGCCGAGCCGAAGCACGCTGGTTACTACGCAGCAATAAACAACTCTTGGCAGCGTTGCCCAGCAACAAATGTAAACACGGCGATCACGCAACAAGAAAGCGAGGCGCTTTTTCCGTTGTTTGTCTGAGGGTTTGTAAGAGAACTGCACTGCCTAAGGAGTCAGTTGAATTGTAGCGGTCGCCGAGTTCAGTTGTAGCGAGTGAATCGTGAACGTGAATACCGTTAGTGTGAGAAGTTATTGGGAATGTGTAATACTTATAAAACAGTTGAGGATCACACAATTTATACACCCTACACAATAATCTGTTCACTCTATCTTCAATGGTCTTCAATTATTCACAGAACGATACGGGAGCTATACCAATGTCACTGTATGAATGAATGAATACAGTGACATTGGTATAGCTCCCGTATCCTGCTGTGAATAAGAGAAGGCCACTGAAGATAGAGTGAACAGATTATTGTGTAGGGTGTATAAATTGTGTGATCCTCAACTGTTTTATAAGTATTTGTAGTTATGACTTGTAGGTTCTTAAATACACCAATTAACAAGCTGATCGGCGTCTTCAGTAGCAAAACACGTTACAGTATGTTATTCATACAAGATATGAAGCAAAAATTCGATATTCGCAGTAAGAACTATTATAACTCTCTTTCTGAACATAATTAATCTACTGTGACTCTACTTCACATAAATTTTGTATATTCCTTCCTGATTCATACAACTTTTACAGACTTTGTTATTTAATTTTAATTAAATGAGAAAATTATAAAGTATTTTACGAAGTTACCAGCCTCCAGCAATTCAGAACGAAGTTGAGGCGAAAGAATTATTCTATTTATAAAATTATAATGTATGTTTAAATCTTAATTTATCAGTGACATTTGTATGAGTCTGTTATAGTTGTATTGCGTTTCAGTAGTCTTTCCCGTGATTTCATTTTTGTCAGCCTTCTTTTGATTTTATATCCTAATGACAACTACAATTGTATTGCTACAGACATTTATGATTACACTATCTTATGTCAGTGATATTATAAGGCCGATTTATGTGTGTCATGTATCGTCTGTAAAACTAAAATTCTTTAGATTAAAGTCTGAAGTTACACAGAGTCTTATAAACCTGCATGTTAATTTATGTTACCGAAGATTTATTTATTTACTCCCTATTATTTATTACCCGGCTGGTCCAAATGATTTTACTAATCTTATGATTGCAGTTTTTTCTTTAACATTCAAGAAGCCGTGGCCGATCCAGGGGCCACTACAGAACCGTTGGAGCCCCTTGGGGCTGATGTTGCCGTAGCTGCCACCTGAGCCTGTTGCTGTAGTTTGGTGGCGGTTGGAGTTGCGGGGAATCCCGCCAGTTCAGCGTATCCACCTGCTGGAGCCAATCCCGCCGCTGCCACCGTTTGCTGTAGGTACGCGATGAGCCGTCGCAGCTCCTCCAGTGCATTCGCTTGCATAAGAATGAAGTTTTTAGCAAGGAGAAGAGTCGCTATCTTGGACAGTTTCCGCACTGACGGCGAATGTGCGTAAGGGATTACGCTACGTAATTCGTCCAATGCGTCGTTTAAATCGTGCATTCTTCTTCGTTCTCTTGCGTTGATGTTGAGTCGCACCATTTTACCCTGACGGGATTTCGATTTGCCAACACCTCCGCTACCACCGCCACTGCTCCCCATGCTGGAAGATCGTTGTTGATGTTGATTTAATCTGACAAGAAAGCGTACAATTTTTAGCGTTTCATGAACATTCAATGAAATAAATGTAGAAATTGTATATTAACACATGACAAATAACACACATTAACACAAACAACCCTGAAAAAGAAAATGTGACACTTTATTGAAAAAGAGAGAAGTCCCTGAATACAGCAATAAGCAGGACATTACCCTAACAACGAAGAACTAAGAGTAAGAAAGAGTAAAATTACTTACGCCTGAAAAAAAAAATAGAAAGAAAATTTTATACCACATTCAAATATACATACTTATTGTATATTTTAATGGAATTATAATGCTCTTACGGAATCGTACACGCCCATAGTTTCAACAGACATCTATAAACACAAAGAATATTTAAGCTCAGCATGCATAATTACTGATGACATTAATGGTGGAACTTGTATGCTGCACCGAAATATTTAAAATAGTTTCATGCAGGATTTTGTAGAGGACTACATGCAAAGCTGCAAAATTTTTTGTTAGGCATTTGTTATATTCCTCTATCCCTCAATCAGCTGCAACTGTAATGAATAACAATTTATAACATCGAACTTCACGTTCGAGAAGATAGCAATTGCTTTATATTCTGGAAGTTCCAGGTTCAGGTCTTGGTTCGGAGACCGGTATCATGACAGAAGTACGAGTATTTCGTGTTTTTTCAGGTCCTCAAAGGTATTCCATATTTCCTGTGGTAACTGACAAAGCAAAACTTCACATTAGGTCAGTACTGCTTCATGTTGATATATGTACAAATTCATTATTCATTTGTCACAATTATTTAGACGTTATTGACAGCATCGTTAAATAAACAAGAACCGTAGAATCAAGAATTTTCTTTTCTCCATGTCGTCTGGACCGGCTCTGGGATTCACCCAGCCTCCTATCCAATGGGTACTGGGTAATTTTTCCCCGGGGGTAAAGCGGCCGGGGCGTCAAGCTGACTACTCACCTTCAAGTAATGCTAAGGCCAATAAAATGTGGATCTATATATCCACTTCCCCATACTCCTTCATGGCGTAATACTTAATTAGTCAAGCACAGGAACAACTTTACTTTTTTACCTACACAGGTATCCTATACGTATTGGGTACGTTAAGGCTATAAATTGTGAAGCCCCTGATTATGTATTTCCACCTTCCATTACTTCTTCGTTCTTAAGTCCGAATGTTTTTCCCCTTTACACTGATCTCGATTGCTCGGTATGTACGAGCTAACATGTTTAGAGCGAGTGAACAAATTTCACGCCCTTAAATATTGTAATACGTAAAATTACGTCCCAAATAGCGTATCTGAGAACTTCGCTTTCAACTAGTTTTATTACTTTTGATAACATCGTTTGTTTGCGTCTTATCTTTCCCCTTGGCCTCCTGATATTCAAGGTTAGCGAACTTGAAAATTATCCTTGAATGTGTCGAGTGCTACACTTCTGCCAACGCCTACAGATCGTAGCATAGATGTCACTGCATCTCTGCTCTGCTGGAGAAGTTGCCGCATCAGCACGGCGAATTGTCGTCGTTAAAATACACATAATGAAGCTCATCAATTCATCTTTGGTTTACACTTAGATTACCTGGCTTTCTCTTGACCTATGTGTTTACGCTTATGTATAGTCTCTGAATATCAGTCATTAAACTTCCTTTTTGTTTTTGTGAGAAAACAAACGTTTTTGTTTCATAGCGACCTCGAATTAAAACGTAGCAAGACAGGGATATTACGCTATTAGAAACTGTTAAGTATTACTCACTTATTTACTCATGGAGCTGAGCCCTTCTTGAGAAGCCGCCAATTCTGCAGCTACTCAAGAGTTTCCCAGCATTTTATGGAACCCGAAGGTTCATTACCGTGTCCACTGGTCCCTATCCTGAGCCAGATCAATCCAATCAACACCATGACATCCTATCTCTCTAAGATCCATTCTAATATTGTCCACCCACGTACTCCTTGGTCTTCCCAGTGGTCTCTTTCCTTCTGACTTTCCCACCAATATCTTACACTCATTCCTCCTCTCCACTATTCGTGCTACATGACCTGCCCACCTCATCCTCCTTGACTTGATTATTTTAATTATACTTGCAGTAGAGTACAAGTTATGAAGCTCCTCATTGTGCAATTTTCTACAACCTCCTGTCACTTCATCTCTCTTCGATCCAAATATTCTCGTCAACGCACTGTTCTCAAACACCCTCAGTCTATGTTAAGTATTAATCATGTTAATATACCCCTTAATAAAAGAAAAGAGGCATAACAGAAATTTATGTTTTATATTAGGAATATCATAGTATAGGCCAATTTCTACACTATTTTTGATGTCACGACAGCATCTAGCACATGATAAATAAATATCCTTGTACAATATTAACTTCTTGTTTTGCATAGTCAAGGAACATTAATCACTGACCCTCATAGGGTTTTTGTTTGAGGAAACAAGTTTCTTTCATAGTGACTTCAGATTCCAACACAAAAATATTGGGGGTGTTATGCTATAGGAAACTGTAAGTCATAATGATGCTCACAAACTTCTCAATGAATTCCCAAAAATGCAACAGAAATTTACACTTCATGTTACGAATATCATACTATAAACCAATTCTGTATCATCACCAAATACACATACATCAAAAAATAAAATAACTTGTATAGTAAGAACTTTTCTTGTTCTTGAGATCTTGTCCATTTAACGACACTTTTCAAATACACACGTTATATAGTGTCCAGTTACAGGATATTTGTGAATAACGAACTGGAATCCATGTGGGAGAAAGGGTTTCCATCGCAGGACTGCCAGGCAAGACACTAAGAACCCTCAGTCAGGCAAACGTTATTTCCATGCGTAGGTAAAAAGAAAGCGCCTCTCGACTATGTGACTTCAGTTCTATTCACCACCCTCCCACAATTTTATCTTCATCCCTCATCACCCTCTCAAAATTAGAAATCTGAATAATATGGGCTGTAAATAATTAACGACGCTGTAAGCACATCAGATTACACAGTGCAAAATGACGGTATAATTCGTGAATAACAAACTGGAATCGATATGTAAAGAAGCTACCGTGACCACTATTCCTGCATGGTAAGTCGAAGCGTTAGTCGGGACATAATTTCGGACACGACCGTGTTGTACGGTTAGTTACTCGACTTCAATGAAACCCCTCAGATTTCAGAGCGCGCAGGTAAAATAATTAGCGAGAGGAGTCGTGAGTGGCCGGCTTTAGAGGAACATATTGTGACATGTAAACCCATTTGGAGGCAAAGCCCGCAATACACGAATGCAATAATAGATCTGATGTCGAAAGGGGTGTTCTCTATGCAGTTCGCATATATCCACTGCAAGGCAACGGATGTGTTCTCTTTATTGTGGTCGGACGAAAGACTATATAAAGAGAAGTCAACAATAACTGACAGTTCAGTTAAGACTGAGTCCTGTATGGGAGGATGTGAAGTAAAGATCAAGTTGTCAGTCGAAATTTAGCCGGCGAAGAGAAGCTTAGCATATGAAAAGAGGACTTTATGTGTGCTGTAGTTACAGTGAGACTGTTATAAATCCGTTAGCAGGATAAGACTAGTGAATACTGAGGAGAATTAGCGTGTCCTTGAAATTTGTGAAATGGGTAGATAGCGATAGCCCTGTAACTGATTGTGATTACTAGTGATAGTAAAAGAAGGTGTTAATAAATGTAATTATCCAAACCAAATCCGTTATTATTAGTCACGCAGCCATAAACAAGTGGCAATATTATCTTTTCCAGATTCATTGAAACACACAGTTTTATTGCCTAAAATACTTGAATGACTGAAACATACCAAATGTAACGGAATATCTTAAAGTAGGTTACATTGATATATCATAAATGCAGTCATAATTACTTCCAGAAAACCCGAATCAACAGGATGTACACGTAATATTCTTGTCCATTCTTGTAACGGGCATTTTGACTTAATACAAACTTTAAGCTTTGTGTATCTTCTTAATTGAAGTTAAAATACAGCAGAGTTTAAGTGCAGAATTTTAACAACTTACAAATGCCTTTCAAAATTCTCCTCTAATTTTGTATACAAGTAACTTGAAATTTCTGTTTCATAACAGAGTTCTTTTTGGCTGGAAGACAAAACTTCCTAAATGTCGTTTTTAACTAAATTCCTTTAAATTCAAATATCGGAGAATCCAATCTAAGAAACGTTGCTTTTTAAATAGAAGCAAGACGATGTAGAATGTGCAAAACACTACAAATGTATCAAAACATCCTTCTCAGTAATTTATTTTCGTAAGCTACTAACGAGATTCTTGTAGGAGCTATTTTTGTCACATTCGTTAAAAGCAGTTGCAAGAAATACACCTATTAGTTTGTCAAGTTTGTCTTTGTTCACACGTACCATTTTGAGAAAGCTGAACCTATTTTCACGAAAATTTATACTAGAAAATTTTCATAAACTCGACGACATATTCATTTTTTTAAATTCGACATCAACAACGGACATTTTACACGTAAATGGAAATATTTCGAACAAAGTTTGTAGATGGAAATGAAACACATATTTTACGTACGCTACACATTTTTTTGTGCGTCTTACAATTCTGGCGATAACTAAACAAAAGTAGGCGAAAGTGCTAGAGTTGCTTCGCTATGCATTCATTTGTTAATTTTCCTGCTTTGCGTGGTTCCATAAGAGGACAATCTTTTACTATACCTCTGTCCCATGTGCTGATTTTGATGGTGTGACCCGGCTGACTCGGGCCTGTTCTCGTCAGCCTGGAGGGGGCATGTTCCATTGTTGGGGGGCGGGGGGCATGACGGAGACGAAGAGAAATAAAACCCCCCTAGTCCCACAGCTCCGAGAGGAGTCCTGCGCCCCGGAACCTGTTGTAGTTGTTGCTGGACCAGATCTTGTGGCTGTTGGGACTGGCTGGACGAACCAGAGAAGGGGAAGCTGCTATTCGTATCCATGGCAACGCTCGTATCCTGTACCACAAGATGGCGGTGAGCCCACAGAGCAGCAAGAAAACACCACATACAGTTTCAATTACGATACGTTGATTTCATAAAAAATAACACTAATATACTATTACATAATTACATTACATTATTAGGGACAACATTCCGTTTTGTGGCAAGCTATAAATTTACACCTAAGTAAATAGAGCAGATTACTTGAGAAAGTGATAGTCGCTCAGTTATTTAAGAAACTGCGTGTATATTTTGGAAATTTCAGACTCATTGTCATGTTTGCAAATACCAGCAGCAGAACTGTATCCTATGCTAGATAAAGCCAGTCCACATAATCATAAACGATTCCCTTAATATTCGTTTCAATATTATCCCTTGATCTTCCCTTTGTCTTCAAGGTGTCTCTTCTCTCTATGAATTGAGACTAATTTTTGTATGCATTTCTCAGTATTCTCCTTTGTGGGACATGCCCAAATCATCTCACTTTCCTTCATTTGATTACCCTAACTTTATTTAACGGGTACATATTATGAACTTCCTAGGTACATTATTTTATATATTCCCTTGTTAATTTCCATTTCTTGGATGTAATAATTCTTAGGCCCACTGTGAAACTGTATTATGTTTGGAAGTTGAGTCCTATTTTTTCAAACCAAAAGAAATCATTAGTACGAGTAATTTTGATTACATAATATTTTTTAAAAGCCTAGTGAAAAGATATGCATATAGAAGAAAATATACTGAACGATGAACAAGATTTCAATACCAAATACATTTTGAAAGTAAATTAGTAATGATATGAGTAAAAGAGAAACTAGAGCTAGTCAAGAAATTCTTCTCCTTTTAGAGAACCCGAAAGTTCATTAACCTTTTCAGTACATATCATTATTGAACAGTATCCTGAGCCAACTGAATCCGGTCCATATTGTCATATATTTTTTACATTCCATTTTAATATAATCTCCCCGTAATTTACAGGTAAAATAGAAATATATCCTTTATTTATAATCTATAAAAGAAATTAATTTGCTAATAATTACTTCGAAACGTACGTATAACAGTGACATATTTTTGTTTTGCTTAAAATATAAACTCATAGGAAAGTATTCATGTAGGATCATCATAGTTATCACTTGAAACGTAGTTTTATACATAATTTATTGTAACACTAACACTACGCATAAAATCTTACGCGTTATTCTCTTATTAACGTTTAAAAGAAGTGTTCAATTCAAAATTTACAGATTAAACATTACAATTGTGCATTCCACCCTTTATGTTTCACAAAATTCAAGCGTAAGTCAATAATGGCCAGAAAATCTGCACATTGAATACTTGTTTAAAGTCGCAAATGGTTATGAAATGCCAGCAACAATTGGCACATTCTGAAGAATATATTTTTTACAAAAATTATCACTGCGTAAATAGAACTTCTATGAAGACAGGCATCTGTTTACTCACAGTGTTTTCTGCCGCGGCCTCCCAAGCCCACGCCGCCGTGCCACCGGTCAAAGCCTCCTGATGATGAGCCTCCAGACGCCACAACCGCGAAAGTTCTCCTGGTGCTCGTGAGGTGGCTCCACAAATAATGCTAGGATCAACCTCTTCGTCACCGCATCTTCTTCTCATGTCAACTGTTTTGAAGTCTTCAAAATTCGGGTCCTTTCTACGTGCACTCGTACAAAATAATTTACCAAATATTTCCTGTCAAGTGCCACTAGAAGAAGTAGGGTTACTTTTGAAACAGAAAGAGAACAAAAGTTGCCACCTGTGTCCGCTGTAACAAAGCTGTAAAAGTATGGATGTTTTGAGGAAAGCTTCAACGACGTTCCGCTAGGTGGCAGGAGTGACGCGATGCTGAGACGAAATTGCGCGGCAGATGGCGTCCCCCGAGGGTGAAAAGGAGTGGATGAGATGTTGGTGGAGGGGCGAATACTGACACAATGGACCAACCATCACATTCATTATTATTGCGTCTCTCCAGACACATACAGACCAGTCTTTCATAGTACATGGTGTGAGAACAAAAACCTTCGGTAACTATGGTAACCCCAGATGGAACACCGCCCCCCCCCGTAAACAGACACGGACGCTGTATCTTGCTGCCATCTATCCCACAGCCGGTGAACTTACTGTTACTGTATCTTTGTATTGTGAATATACAGTATATTGCTACAGTAAGGATTTTTTCTAAACAACTGATTTAGGAAGGAACCGAATTAAAATAAAGGTACATTCGTTAATAATAATCTAAAAATTAACTGTAGTAATGCGTGTTGGAACAAAAAATACATAAGATGTGATAGCATGGACACTATTTATTTAATAACGTCGAATAACTCCCAGTTACTTCAAAATGTATTCACAGCACTGCTTACTTTTGTTCGTAGTTATGAATATGTTGAAAATGTTATACAAAATTTCATGCCTGTGATTTGTTCTATTCCAAAGTGAAATGGATAGAAATTATAAAATTCTATAAGACACCAGATAAAATATAACCTTCAGATTCCAAGTATTTAATTAAAATAGTAAGAACCTATGATTTCTAAGTTAAAAAATGTTATACATTTTGATGGACATAGTGACTCTCGAAATAGAACTGAGCATCCTAAAATTAAGAAATATGCAGAACACTGAAAAATTAAAGATATATATTCTTAAATATGTAAATATTATTATGATGAAAAAGGTATCAATTGGAAATTTTAAATAACACACACATCATATTTACTGCCAATTATATCTTCAAATCATTAAAAAATTGAAAGCTAACGATAGATTTATGAAACACTGTACGTTTCAGGTGTGCAGTATAGAAGTGAAGTTTCAGTTACAGAATGAAAGTAAGAAGTAAAGGCAAAATGTAAAACAATATTGAGAGGGTGACGATAGCCAACTGTTAATGGATCGTTCTTTGATGAAATAAATACGTTATTGTGGAATAAATATAAAAAAACTAGAATTATATCAAAATACAGTAAACATATTAATAATATCAATATATTTACGAAATAACTATCTACATGAGCCAGCTGATTAGCTACACTCGTTGTCTTTCAGCCAATTAAGAGAGTTTGCTCCTTTTAGGAGCCTGAATATTCACTCCCACATTGACAAGAGCCTATTCCTACCCAGTCCACCCTCTATCTCTATTCCTGTGTTATCATTGTATAGCTATTGCTTGAGATCTCTTCCTTTCCGGTTTTGCGATTAAAATTCCGAATTAATTACCGATCCCTCTCATCCATTCTACATGTCCTGAATATGTTAACTTTCTTCATTGTAATCGATAAACAAAAAAAAATTATTCATTACGTATGAGATTAAGAAGAGCGTGAGGTTGATCCTAATCCCACAGAGCGTGTCTCATTTTATGAAGACAAATTGTGAAATATTTTTACATGTCTACAGATACTTATCGATTTATAATTAAGAAGACTGAACGTCACTGTTGAGGGGTCGGCACTCCTGGGTTCTATTTAGGACGTCCCATAGAACATACGGAACCTTAGTGGTCTAGTGGTCAGAGTTCTACGTTACAGATCCAGAGGTCTCGGGTTCGATTCCCAGTGTTATTAGATTTTCTGAGAAGTAGTGGGTCTGAAACGGGGCCCGCTCAGCCTCGTGAGGATAACTGAGGAAATATTTCAAGGAAATAGCGGCTCCGGTCAAGAAAACCGAGACTAACGGCATTGGGAATCCGTTGCGCTGACCACGTGACACACTCTAACCGCTAAAATTGGCACTAACTTCGCCGTCAAGCGGCGGTCACGCTGTCGGTATAGTTGGCTTGCGGACTGAAGGCCACGGAGTTCTTTTTTTTCATGGAACATGCAGAAATGCTGTATGAAGACTACGTGTACACTGACCTGAGTAATAACGCGATGACCTTCGCAATTTCGTCCTTGAAAATTCGGCTTCATCACAGAAAATATCTTCATCGGCTGAATAAATGACATCTGCCTAAGGAAAACTCTGTACATTGTAGCTATTTGATACGTAATGTTAACGCCGAAAAATTATATGTCACAAATGTAAGCCACGGGATTCATAGGTTGGAGTTCGGAACATGCAACATGCTGTTACAGATACCTTTCTCAAACAAAACAATTGTTAATTACAATAATTATGTACTATAGGTAATTATTTCACCATTCTTTAGCATACACTGTGTGTTTCATACGAAGTAACTGCACGAAAATGGTGCAGTGTGTTCTGAACATCATTTCGGGTGTGAGTCTGTACATTAATCACACTTTAATTATGAAACATACAATTTTGTTGGTAAAATATCAAAATGGCGCTACTTGATGTGGATGTCGATAGATAGCTTGCTGACCCTGGACCTCTTTCCCTGACGTAGCAAAACCCGGATGATGGGATGGGTAGGGAAGTTGGAAGGGGAAGGGGACATGGCCCTTGCAGTTCCATGATTCGCGAAATTCCCACAAGATGGCGATGTTGATTAGATCCTTCATTCCTTACAACAACAATGTCGTAAAGATTCCTAAGCAAAATGAGAATACCAAGATATCTCGGAAGGATTTCAATTACGAAATGCGTCGGCATGTCTTCCGCTCGTTCGCATCGCAATATCCGTCTAAGTGCAGCAGCTGGCTTGAATTTTTTGCAATCCTCGGAATCCAATTATTGATAATTCTCCTAATTTTTAGTAATATCTATATAAAGACTTGTTTAGTCCTGTTTATTTGGTGAATACTAGGATTCGCAATGTCGAAAACACTTCAAATCTGATTGCAGATGCCAAAACACCTGATTTATCTCATAAATTCTGCCAGCATTATTCTCAAAAAGCTAATCGAATACTTACTTTGTCGTTTCCTGTATTCAGAGATGAACACTACTGAAACTGATACAAATCATATCATTGTTATCAATGCAAGTAACTAATAGTCCCATCCCTTATATTCTTGTATAAGGTGAATTTTTTAAATTATGCTTGCATATTTTCACGTGTCTGTGGTTCCGTGACTAATAATAATGGCTTCTGAATTGGATGATTGACTTATTAACAACTTCTTTTACAGTCTCTCTCAATCACAATCAATTACAGCGTTGTCACAAATCTACCCACTTCAAAAATCACTAGGACACCCTTAACTGTCGTTCTCGTTCTCCGTTGTACTCCTACAGCCGCCAGCCTCGGAATTCCTTCTGTGCCCTTTTATGATTCCTCGGCACGGACCTCACGGAAAACAGTTCTTTTTTGTTGTACTAGAATGAGAGTTAGTTGGCGCGGTACCTAGTAATGGATGTCTTTATATTGTTGACAGCGTAACTCCGGAACTGTGTTTACCGAGTCGTTGCCTAGAAACGATCATATGCGTCAATTAACAGATATTTCAACGACAGATCAAGAATCATATGAACTGTAGGCCTACTTAATCTTGAATTCAGTTGCACATGATAAATTAACGGGCATAGGCATGCGAACTGCATATCAGTTCTTGCATTAGAGTCGTCCCAGAGGAACTGCACTGCACGGGAAAGACAATGTTTTGGTTAGAGAGAAAGAAGGTCTCGAACTATCTGAGAAAGAGATGCACTGGAAAACCCATGTTGTACTATCTAGATACACTTTCTCAGTCCTTCATTAGGTAATAGGGCACGAAGACACATGGGCAGAACGGAGGCATAACTTCAGGTACACTTAACTATAGGTAAAAGTAAGCGACATATTTCAAGCTTCACTCACTTTATCACTGGGCAAAGAGTTTCCAATTTTGTTATTAAGAATTTCGAGAAATATTAATAAGAGGAATTACGTTTTTTTTACATGATCAATTAAAGGATATTTAACTTTATTGAGGCCATGATTAAAATTAATATCAGTAATGTTATAAACGTACGCATTCACACTATAGCAAGTTTTTGTATTCAAGGGTCTGAATATATAAATTAACTCACCGGCATTTTTTGATGTCTGAGACATCAACATCATTCGGAGTTTGTCATTTTAACGGCTGAGAAAAGTCACCGGATGAAAATCTAATAACAATAAGGGACTTCAGGAGTTCATGCAAGATTAAACTTAAACTTAAACTTCTTAATTTCCTTCTTATTGTAAATTGATTGAGAGAAAGGCAATAAATAAATAATTCTTTTGTACTTTTAAAAAGAATTGAAAATATCCTTCGACGAGAAGTTCTGGGACGGCTGTAAGAAGGGAGCATCAGCCACACAAGCTGAGATGGTTCAGAATAACCTTCAAAGCAGACAAATCCACATACGTCTCTTACTTTAAACAGATTTGGCTGACTTCTTCTTCTTCTTGCCTCGTGTGGAGGCTGGTTAGATTACCTCCACCGTAGGCCTGCGAGTAGCAGAAAGCTAATAAGAGCGAACTTACCGGTGCCGGGGGGTATAACTGGGCCACCGTGCCACTGGGGGACATAAATACATGGACTTAGTCCTCCAGGTTGAGGGTTGCACGCCAAGCTGACGACCTTGCTCTGTAATAAATTTCACTACTCCAAATCCAAAGAAGTGAAAACCGGATGCAGCCTGGCAAAATTTTCTAAGGAAGACTATGTTTAAGAAAGGGCTGTTTTTCCTATTATTATTATTATTATTATTATTATTATTATTATGAGGGTTTTAATGTACGTTCACAGCTTCACGAATTCTTAAGCTTGGTCGTTGACGGAGGCGAATATTGAGCTTCATGCCTCAACCGCAATAGTTCCGGTGAGAACTTCCGTAACTGCCTGGATCGGTGGAACAAAGAGCCGCTCTGAAACAAAATTAGCCTTTGCTGGAAACCGAACGACGATTCTCCAATCGCCGTTCAGCCCATAGCCTAATGACTATAACGACTGGCTACTGTTTATTTTCTACAGGAACGGTATTTCGTAGTTCATAGACAACAGGAAATCTTGCCATGATTCTAAATGAATTTTAATACGTCTGTTGCATATCCTACGCCAAGAATGATTTAAAAATAGTCCATCCTTCCATAACTTTTTAAGCCACAGGTTATCTGCGAATATTTGTGTTGATGTCTTCAATATTCCCATGTTCAAACCAAAGGAAACTCCTAGTACTCACGTTATACAAATACAACAAACCGCAT